ACAGTACTCATTTCCATATTACAATATTTGTTAGGTCATTAGTTTAAGAAATAAACATTAATCAACCAATCAAGTAACTGTATAATTTTTATGTCTTATATACAGGCATCTTTTTGTGCATCTATAACAAAAACATTTCAAACTCCGTCGATCGCCAAAATGTTTGCTAAAAATGAACTAAATGCTCTCAGAGAAAAATGCAAACAAATTAAAAACGATATMAGATTGTGTAAATTGAACTTAATGGAAGGAAAGCGACAAAAGGTTAGTCTTATTTATCTAAGAATAAATAAAGTATATACTTGATATATTTGATGTAGGTATACAAATTTAGTTTATTACTGTTATTGTTTCATATATGGGTTATCATACATAACAGCTTGAAGTATTATGTGCTTTGAAATGTCTTGGTTGTGAGCTGACAAATGAAGATAAAATGTTTATTAGAAGTGAAATAAGAAACATTCATAGCTGTGCACCAATGTGATGTGTTAAATGGATTAAGTATGAAATTTCCATTACTTTAATCTTATAAATGTGATACATATTATTTATAGCTAAGACTAGGATAATTATGATTTATGACCATTAAAAATTTAAATATATCATTTATAACAATACTCTATTGAATAATGTCAATTTTTTTATGTTTTCAAATCAGACCATGTGTTGATTGTCAGGTTATACATTTCTGTAAGAAGGAAAACTTCATTCATCTACAGAAATTATTTGCACATACGTATTGCGACCTTAAACTTTTTTCATTGAAATTATTGTTTATTCATTGTTTTTTTCTTCTTAATATGCAATTATTCCTATTAACCCCTTAATGTGCAAAAAATATGCAATATTAAATTTAATAAACCTGATTCTATATCACACAAATCAAACTTAGCGATATGCATGACTGTATAAAAAATATGAAWAAATCATTAATGTCCTGACCTTATTGTTATGTGGTCGAGGGAATGATCAATGTTTAATAAGTTACATTGGAGGGCTGTAGGACCCTATAAAAATAGTTACCRTGCCCTGGAATCGATAATATATTATAAATAAAAATCTTGAATACCTATATTTAAATATCCTGAATTCTTTTTCAGTTGTTATCAAGTTTTATTGTCTTCTAAATACATTCAAATAATAATGCTCATAAGTATGTAAATTACATTCTATCATTCCCAACAGTGGAAAAATGATTTTGGGAACAACTGTTGCCTGTTATACTGGTCAAAAATTATGAAATTAAAAGTACCTATATTAATAGTCGTACAATTAACAAAAGTGATACTGTAAACAGTTATTTTTACGTTTTATTTAAGCTAATGTTATGTAGGAATTTTCATCATAGCCTTCAATAGTTTATAATACATTGAGTTTTTATTGAAATTCCATATGGTTGGCTGTTACCGTTACATTATCTTATTAATTGTTAATATTTATAATTTAACTTTATGAAGTAACAAGTAATAAGTGAAAGAAGTAACAAAACTAATTGATAAAATAAATTTTATCCTTTTAATAAATAATTTATTATTGTTAAATATTACCAATGAATACTATGGCCAATATAAACTATTAGATATTGACATTGTTAAAAATATTCTGTAATGAATTAACTTAGTCTCTAATTGGTAAATAAAGATTCTTTCA